TGCTGGTCCTGCATTGAATGCTGCGAGCTGAATGCATGTAGAACTAGATGATTCTAGATAAACATTCATGAAACACAAAGATTTATCACAACTCAATACTATCAGCTTTTTAATATTATCAGCGTTCTGATGGAATTTTAGCCAAATGATTTTTACCAAAAACATAATTAATGTGAACAAATAAGGAATAGTTGCATTAACCATACATGGAAACAGAGTTCTAAGGGGCCCCCAGGAACTCGGGGCCCGAGGCAGCTGCCTGGTATTTCCTGATGGTAAATCCCCCTCTGCTCAGAAGAATTTACAGACATCGCCTGATGCTGTGAATAAAACAGAGCTGATCAAACTTAAAGCTCCTGTAGGTAATTAGCCAGAGGAAAACAGGAATGCTGCCCTGGAAGGAATCCACTCCTAAACGTGTGACTTCCATCTGGAGCGCCGCTGGAGCTGATGGCGGCTTCAGCTTTTCTACCTGGTGTGAATCTTACTTCTGCCTGTCGTGGTACATGAAGAGGTCCGCCAGCAGAGGGAAGTCCTGGAACGGTTTCACCCTCAGGAAGTGCTGCGCCGCAGCCAGCATGAAGCCCACGTCCGTCTCAGGCTCCTGGCGCTCAGAGAAGCGCCGCGCCAGGACCAGAACCTCGTGCTCCGACAGCCCGCAGTCCATCATCAAGCCTCTGTGACGACACAAAAACAGAGAAGAAGCAGGCGTGACTAGATAAGAAGCAGTCCTCCATCTTTATCAGCTGCTCTTCAGACTGGGAGCTTTAATAGAAACAGCCGTGGTTTCAGGTTACGATTCGTGCATCCGGCCAGGCTTCATGGACCTGGACTCGCGTGACACGGTGGAACAGGAAGCATGGCGTGCAGCATCATTAGGAGCGCCTCTAACTGGAACCAAAGAGGCGAGCCAGATTACTGAAAACATCTACAAAGCACCCAACACCCAGCAGAATGGAGGCGGCCTGCTCTCTGCCAACGGCTGGTCCCCAAAGGGGGGCCAGACTATACCATGAAATAAATAGACCTACAGGTTAGTATTTAATATCATTAAATATAATTCGTTCAATTAAATGTTACTTAAACAATAAATCCAACTTATTGACTTTCTGTGTATAAATGAGTATTTCTATGTATTTTAGGAGAAACGCTAAAATCTCCACTTCTGTTGGATTTAAAGACTGAACTTAACTCATTCACCCCCTACCCCCCACCCCACCCCCTACATGAGGAGGTGAATGGATGAAGGTCAGCCACACCTCCCTATTTAGGGAGGCGGTCAGGAAGCTGCCAACAGGCTGTCAGGAAGCTACCAAAAGGCGGACAGGAAGCTGCCAAAGGGACAGGAAGCTGCCAAAAGGCTGTCAGGAAGCTACCAAAAGGCGGACAGGAAGCTGCCAAAGGGACAGGAAGCTGCCAAAAGGCTGTCAGGAAGCTGCTATTAGGTGGTCAGGAAGCTGCAAAAAGGTGGACAGGAAGCTTCCAGCAGGCGAACAGGAAGCTGCAAAGGGCCAAGAAGCTGCCAACAGGCTGTCAGGAAGCTGCTATTAGGTGGTCAGGAAGCTGCAAAAAGGTGGACAGGAAGCTTCCAGCAGGCGAACAGGAAGCTGCCAACAGGCTGTCAGGAAGCTGCCAAAAGGCTGTCAGGAAGCTGCCAACAGGTGGACAGGAAGCTGCCAACAGGCTGTCAGGAAGCTGCTATTAGGTGGTCAGGAAGCTGCAAAAAGGTGGACAGGAAGCTGCCAAAAGGCGGACAGGAAGCTGCCAACAGGCTGTCAGGAAGCTGCCAAAAGGCTGTCAGGAAGCTGCCAACAGGTGGACAGGAAGCTGCCAACAGGCTGTCAGGAAGCTGCCAACAGG